GGGGGGGGGTACTCCCAGAAAAATTTGGTGTGGGTGTGTGGCCCGCTTCCCAAAACCCTTAAACTATTTATGACCAAAATCTGTGATTTTCCCTACCTATTTATGATCAGACCAAAAATTCAATACCCTATTTATGACCATTGCAGCTGACACAGTTGCCCTAAGCATAAGTTTTGAAGGGCTTTTGTTGATGGTCTTATCAATAATGATTAAAAAATAGCTTTTCCTAAATAACATGCCCAATTTAAGACTTGAGTATTTAAGACCAAAATAGCCAAAATTGATACCCTATTTATGACCAAAACAGCTTAAAAACCATACCCTTTGGGGCAGCACATACCTATATAGCCCAGTTAAGGGAGTACCACCCCCCCAGGGATACAACTAGTTCATACTGGTACGATCATTGACAGAAGTTTCCCCTCACCTTTTTTCTGCTATGATCTAACCCCTATCTCATTGCAGGAGGTCCTTAAATCACTTCTTGTTATTAGCTGGGACATTACGTTTTAAAAGACCCCGATGGAAAATCAACTTTTGGATACATTCTTCCTGAGAGCTCCCGTAAATCATCGAATTAGAGCCCCTCCTCAAATAAGTGTCCCCTTCGAATAAGCGCCCCTCCTATCGGCCACAATTTAAAATAAGAACCCCCCCTCGAATAAGCACCCCCTCCACTTCCCCCATTTTTTGGACAAGCAATGAGACAACAAAGGATGTATAGTTTCAATTTGTGAACACGTTAAGTTTGGGGAAAAGATTACAAGTACTAACAGTGCTGTGATTTAAACTTAAGGATCAGCTATTTATGTCGATAAATGGCTCATGTTGTTGTTAGTGCGCAGATGATGTATTTAAAAAATGATCATGTCAGGCCACGGGAAAATTAAATGAGCGCCCCCCACCCCCGTCTTCTCCTAAATTTAAAATATAAAGCGCCCCGGGTGCTAATTCGATGATTTACGGTAAGTGCAGAACAGCTAAAACTTACCCCCAAAAGAAACTAAATAGTTCAAACAGGGCTCATCTGTTGTCTACTTCTTGCGGATTATAATCCTAGATGGATCCTGAAAAGAGCTCGTTGAGTGCCTCTCAAAAGAACCGTCCTGAGGAAATTTAATGCACTTCGGACATGTAGCACTGGATTCTAAAACGGCACTGAGTAGATCCTACAGACTCACCTGTCAAATGTTTTGTAAGCCTTCACCCTTTCTTCTTGCAACGTAAAAAATTGCTTTATCAATTCCCTGTGGCTCATGACTGAAGTAAATACATATGCAACGTTCTAGCGGAGGCGAAAATGTCGAAAATCGTCAGGCGTTACTTCCAGTAACAGTCGGGAGATCTGGACACTGAATTGTTTTAGCCTAGGCCCAGGGTTTTCTCGGCCAATTCCACAAAAATAAATAAATGGCGGCCGAAATGGGCCTTCATGCGAACTTTAGTTACAAACAGCTCCACGAGAGATTTGTTAGCGATTTAAACGGAACATCGCTATTTGAAATCAACGCAGTTACTCATTCTGCTCCAGCAGCCGTTTTATTAAGGACAATTTTATTTAATGTTTTGTTTACAAAGGAAGAAAAGTTCTCAAAGTTAGTCTTCTGTTGGTAAGTTTCTATTAAATGCTTACCTAAAGTTGCAGTGGAGTATTTAAATCTTTCTACTGTTTTATAAGACACCAGCTAAAACAACAGCAACGACAACATCGGCAGTGTTTTTTCAATACATCCATCCTCCCCCAATGACTTTGTCT